TGGTCCTGCCCCGGTACCTCCCTGGCAAGCACCACGTGTCTCTGGGGCTTTGCTCAGCGACCAGGGCGCAGACCCTAACTTCATCCCCATGGTGTTGTCCTGTGGACCAGGTCCGGGTGGGTGAGTAAGCTCCTGTCATTAACATGCAGAGGACCAAGTGACACCACCACGTGACGTGCTCCAATGGGCTTCCCAGCTCAAGTACAGGCACCGGGGGGAGACGCTGCAGGCCCGGTGGGCTCCAAAGCAGTCACCCTGTCAGCAAGCGGGGACTCGCTTCTGCAGAATGGTGTCACACTACCTCATGAGGTTGATGGCATTCATCGGAATCTCTTTCTTCTCTTCGTTTTGTCTGTAATTTTTGAATGGTCTTGGGGAACTGGGTCCATAACAGCTACAAACATAAGAGGGTTATGCCTGTTTTCATGTTTTTTATGTATTTAAGTAACGTTAAAATGAAAATAATTTAGATCAGTACTAGGGAACGAAGATAATTTTTTTCCTCCAAAAGGTGGGGGTGGGGGGAAGGGTCCTACATTATTTGGGTTTAAGAAACACTGTGATAAAATAATCAATCCCACCTGAGGTGTCAAGAGCCAATAAGGGACAAAGGGACGATAAGCCGATGAGGAGGTAGTCCGGAAAAGGGTCAAAAATGCAGAGACAGCTTTGGGTTTGAACCCACATTCCTGTATGGACTCTGACCTGGGAAAAGGGACTTGGTGCCTCCGAGCCAGTTTTCACAGCTGAAAACCAGAACACCAGTAAAGATTAGGTGGTCCCTGAGCTCCGGGCGTCACCCTACCCAAGGCGGACCGGCTGCACCCAGACTCCCTTGGAGAAACACCTTGAACCAAGAAAAGCCCTTCTCCAGTAGGGATGCCAGGCCCCTGACAAGCAAGTTAGGAGAGGGCTTGGCTGGGGGCTTTGGGGCAGTGCCCCCCAAGGGCCAGCTGCCCCTTCTACTGTGGGACAAGGACAGGACCACGCAACACTCTCAAATCCAAACCCAAGCGTGAACTCAGCCTCACCTGCACCCTCCAATGCTTTAGCACAAGAAGAGCTATCATTGTCCTTGACCTTCAACACCAGCTTTGGTTGGAACAAGCGGAAGGACTCCAGCAGCAGTAACCCCGAGAGCCGGGGCTATTGGGTCACACAGATGAATTTCCAGAACGTTTAAGCCAACAGACTCCCGTGTGTCTCCCAGAGCAGGTAGGACCTCCTGACCTGAGCTGAGGCCAGAGAGGTTCGTGAGTGCCCACACGAGACCCAAGCCCCCAGCCCTGGTCGACAGCCTGCCCCCCACTGAAGGGCCCAGGGTGAGGCAGGGGAGCTGGGCACGGGCCAGGAGGCTGGGGAGAGAAGGACCGCGGTCTTCCCAGTGAGGGGCCATGGTCATCACCAGCCTGCCTCCCTGAAGAGCCCTCAAATCATGAGACTTGCTGGTTGTCCTGGACATTTGGGGACTGGGCTCAGGGTCCACCCAGCGGCGGCCGGTGGGGCTTCCTGACAAGGCAATGATCTCATTTATTTTTACATTTCAGGGTTGCCCCCATCAAAGGGAAGGCTCGTTTTAACCAGTGGCCACTAAAAATAAATATTGAAACACCACATTTGTGTGGCTGATCCAGGCCGCACCGGGCCTCAGAGGCACGCCGTCGCCCTCGGCCGGCTGGGACAACGACACTCTCGTGCCCCCCAGCACCGGAGGGGCCGGGCCCAGCCTAGAAGGAGGACCAACTCTGTGATGTCCACACACATCCATATTTCCCGGCATCTGGGGAAAACTGACTGAGAGGAAAGAAGGTCAGAAGGAGACCAAGAGAGGAGACGTCTCTCCAGAGCATTCTTCCCCACACTGGAGTGTGGGCGGCCCTGCAAGAAACACCCCCACGGTCCACCACATCCTTGGTCCGCTCCAGCCGCGCAGGGCCCCACTGAGACACCAGACACCGGGGCCCTGGCCGCAGCCCAGGCCACAAACCACACACGGCAGGGGGTCCTGGGGGCAGGGCCGGCGGGGCCCTCCAGCTGGGAGAAGGCCAGCCCCGGAGAGAAGAAAGTCCTTACCCTGCCAGCAACCTTCTGCTGATTTCCAACGGTGGGACGTCCAAAGGCAGCTCTACTGTTAGGAGGCCTGGCGGTGGGGGCGGGAAGGCCCCGCGTCAGCAGCTGGAATGAGAGATGGAATGAGAGAGAGAGAGAGAGAAACAGAGACAGAGAAAAGAAAGACACACAAAGAAGAGAAAGACAGAGAGACACAGAGAGAGACCTCTAACTCTCAGACAGGATAAGGGCAGCTAGAAAGAGAGCACAGTGAGGTGGTGTAGCTCCCTCCTGAACTCCTGGGCTCCCGAGCTGCCCTCCTGCTGGACGGGCTCCCCAACTTGCGTGTGAGCAGAGCTCCCCGCTTCCGAGGCCCGGCTCCCCTCCCCTCGGCTGACCATGCTCTGGAGGCATCCAGGGCTACCTTCTCTCCAAATGAAGTTGGACCTAGAGTCACACAGGGGATGCAAAGAAGCTACTGCTCCCCAGGTTCCTATAACCTTGGGCCACGCTATGAAATAAGGTTTTCGGTAAGTCCGTGACTATGTTGTGACTACTACGAATGATTTCCACTGTATTTGTGTGGGTTAAAGCCCTATCAGTTTGTTCATACACTGAGACTATGAGCAATGCTTGCACATCTTATTTTGTCTGAACGCTCTTTCTTTTTCCTCCCTCCCTTCCTCCCTCCCTCTCTCCCTCCTTCCTTCCTTCTTTTTTTTTTTAAGATTTTATTTATCTATTTGATGGAGAGAGAGACAGCGAGAGAGGGAACACAAGCAGGGGGAGCAGGAGAGGGAGAAGCAGACCTCCCGCAGAGCAGGGAGCTGGATGCGGGGCTCGATCCCAGGACCCCGGGACCATGACCTGAGCCGAAGGCAGATGCTCAACAACTGAGCCACACAGGCGCCCCAACTTTTTTTAATATACTGAAAGGCTCCAAAAGCAAGAGTGAGCAGGACTTGCCTCCACCCGAGGTCACCTGGAGGCTAGTGTGGGTCTATAAGTGCCCCACCCCCCGCTGAGAATATGACAGGCCCCAGGACCTAGGGCGGCCCCAGGGAAAGCCCTATACCCCTAAATGCTAAGACCTTTGAGCCCTCTTGTCCCTTTGAAGTCACTGGAATCAGGGACCCTGAAAGGCAGGGGAGCCTGGGGAGCCAGCTGGCTATGGCACGTGAGAGGTCCACCTAGCTGGGGCTGAGCCGCCAGGAAGAAAGGGGATCCAAAGCCGGTGCTCAGCCCACCTGAATGGACTGGTCCAGGTTCCCAAAGCAGAGCCCGCTTTGGGGAGCAGGAGTTGGACACTAAGGGAAATGTGACATTCCTTTTTTTTTTTCTTTAAGATTTTATTTATTTATTTACCAGAGAGAGAGAGAAATAGAGAGCAAGCACAAGGAGGGGGAGGGGCAGAGGGAGAAGCAGGCTCCCTGGGACTCAATCCCAGGACCCCAGGATCATGACCTGAGCCAAAGGCAGACGCTTAACTGACTGAGCCACCCAGGCACACCGCCCCCCCGCCCCCCGAATGTGGCATTCCTGTTGCTTGTCCCTGGCCCTGATCTAGCTGGATGTTATTACTGAAGGCATTTTTTTTTCTGTCTTCATTCACCCTCTGGAAACATCTTGAGAGAATTGCAGTGATAGGCAATCGAACATCTCTCTCATCCCATAATAAAACATGCTTACATATTTTATCCCATTTGATGTTCACAACAGACCCACTTTTCACACCAAACGCTTTCCTGCCACAGGACATTTGCACATGCTCTTCCTCCTGCTTTAAATACTCTTCCCCATGCTGTATTCCCTTCATTCGGGCCTCGATCAAATGTTCCTTCTCTGAAAAGCCTTACTCTACACCCATGTGTAATCCATATGTAATCCACAATTTCCTTGTTCTTAGAAGATACACACTGGTATGGTTAGAGATTGTTGTGAATTAAAAATGGTTACAGATTCTTTGAAGGTTCTTTGCAGCTTCTATCAAAAGGCACAGTCTATTTCCACACCCTTCTAATAGATGCCAACTTGTAAACTTGCTTTGAGTAGTAGACCGTGGCACAAGTGAAGCAATGTGACTCCAAGCAAGAACTTAAAGGACCTTGCTGCTTCCACTCTCATTCCTTTGGAACTCCTTATGAGGAAGGCTGAGCCCGCCTGCTGCAGAGGGCATGTGGAGGAGAACTAAGGCACCAAGCCAACAGCCCAACCAACTACCGGGTTGTGAATGGGGCCACCTGTTGACCCGTTTAGGAAGAATTTATAACTGAAACAAGAGTGAAGAGTTAACGTCTGCAACTTGCATTTTTCAAAATAAGAAGAGGGGGACCAACAGAAATAAAGCATCAAAGAGCTACATCTAGGGTCAGTGTCTTTTTCACCAAGGGAGCCAACACAGATCGATGAGGGAAGGAAAAGTCTTCAAAAAATAATTTTGGGACAACTGTATATGCACCAGCAAAGAAATGAAATTGGACCCTTAACTCACACCAAATAAAAAAATTAGCTCAAAATGGATCTAAAACCCAAACGTGAGAACTAAAGCTAAAATACTCTTGGAAGCAAACATAGACATAAATCTTGATCTTGTAATAGGCAAGAGTTTCTTAGATATGATACCACAAGCAACAAAATAAAAAAAATAAATCAATTGGACATCATTAAAATTAAATATTTTTGTGTTTTAAAGCACACCGTCAAGAAAGTGGAAAAGACAACCCAAAGAAAGGGAAAAATATTTGCAAATTATATGCCTGATAAGGGGCTTGTTTCTGGAATACATAAAGAATTCTAAAAAGTCAGTAATCAGACCAATAATCTGATTTTAAAATGGCAAAGAATTTGGATAGACATTTCTCCAAAGGAGACATACAAATGGATAATGAGTATTTGTACAAAAACATGTACAAAATGATTCTTGACATGATTAATTATTAGGGAAATGCAATCAAAACCATAATGAGATTCCACATTAGAATTACTATAATTTTTTTTTAGAATTATTTTAATTTAAAAAAGGCAGGGATGCCTGGCTGGCTCAGTTGGTGGAGCGTGAGACTCTTGATCTTGGGATCATACGTTCAAGCCCCATGTTGGGTATAGAGATTACCTAAAAATAAAATCTTTAGTAAATAAATAAATAAAATGTAAAAGGTAAATAATAAGTGTTTGCAAGGTATAGAGAAAGTGGAACACTTACATTGCTAATGGGAATGGGAAATGATGTAGCCACCTCGGAAAACAGTTTGGTGATTCCTCAAAAAGTTAAACATAGAGTTATTATACGAGCCAGCAATTCCACTCTTAGGTATATGCCCCAAAGAAATGAAAACATGTCCCCACAAAACCCTGTACATGGATCTTCATAGCAGCATTACTCATAATAGCCAAAAAGTAGGAATAACTCAAACATCCATCAACTAATGAATGGATAAACAAATATGGCATATCCATAAATGGAAAATTATTCAGCCATAAAAAGGAAGGAAATGTTGCATGCTACAACATAGATGGATCTTGAAAATATGCTAAGTTAAAAAGCCAGACACAAAAAGTCATATATTACATTATTCCATCTATATTAAATGCCCAGAATAGGCAAATCCATAGAGACACAGATTAGTAGTTGTCAGGGACTTGGGAGGGGAGGAATGAGGAGTGACTGCTAATAAATGGGGTTTATTTTTCAGGTAACGAAAATGTTCTAGGGGTGTCTGGGTGGCTCAGTTGGTTGAGCATCCAACTCTTGATTTCGGCTCAGGTCATGATCTCAGGGTCGTGAGACAGAGCCCCACATTGGGCTCCACAGTCAGCACGGAGTCTGAGATTCTCTCTCTCCCTCTGCCTCTGCTCTTCCCCCTGCTTACGCACTCTTTCTCTCTCTCAAAATAAA